AGTAGGGGGAGGGGCAGTAGTGAGGAGGGCAGTAATGAGGAGGGGCTATAGTGAGGGAGGGCAGTAGGAGGAGGGGCATAAGTGGGAAGTAGTAAGGGGAGGGACAGGGGAAGAGCAGTAGTGCAGGAGGAACAGGGGGAGGGCAAGGGAAGCAGCAGTAGGGTGGTGCTGGACAAAGTATATGTGGGCGTTATGAACCATAAGTCAGGGGCAGCGGCAGAGAGAGGAAGAAGGCGGTGCAGGAGTCCACTAAGTGTTTGCATGCAGCGCCTCGCTACACGCTCTGGTATTAACAAGACATTGCTGGCCAGCCCCCAGCCCGCCCGCCCGCCAAGCTGGACACACACACACACACACACACACACACACACACACACACACACACACACACACACACCCATCACTGCTGGACACAATCCAAGTCCCAAATATATAGCATAGAGGGAAGAATTATACAAAAAAAAGTAAAATAAAATAAATAACTAAATAAAATAAATAAAATCATAAATTATCTGATTTCACCAACATTATATAAACAGAATATTCTAAATTACTCTGAAAACTAATTACCTAAAATCTAAACTATTTGACAATTTTATCATAGAGAAATATTTAATGACCCAGATCTTGTAAAAAATTTATTTAAGAAAAAAAACTCAAAAATCGTGTATATTTATGTATGTTTCGTCACTATTATTACTCAGTTCTGAACGATGATCACTGAATATTATCACTCTATTAGGTATGAAATTTATAGTATTAATAATAATGACAAAATTGTAAACACGGATTGAGATTTAGGAAATATTTTTGACAGTTTGTTGATCGCCTGTAGTCTCTCTCTCTCTCTCTCTCTCTCTCTCTCTCTCTCTCTCTCTCCTCCTTATTTGGTTGTCTTTCTATCTTTCATTCCACACAGCCGTCCCTTTCTATGATACATTCGCTCCTTTCTCTCTCTCTCTCTTTCATACACATATTGACTCCTCCCTCTCTCTCTCTCTCTCTCTCTCTCTCTCTCTCTCTCTCTCTCTCACATTCAAACATTCCTCCCTCCTCTCTCTCTCTCTCACATTCGATCCTCTCTCTCTCTCTCTCTCTCTCTCTCTCTCTCTCTCTCACCGTCTACAGGTAACAATTAGTACCTGGGTGTGGTACTCTCAATATCTGTATATCCAGGCCTGATACATCACCTCTCTCTATCCTCCCAACACTTGCCTCCTATCATCATACCTCTATCTCCGTCTTATCCTCACCCTGCCTCCTATCATCACCTCTATCCTCACTCCACTTGCCGCCATTATCACCACCTCTATCCTCACGTCTCTCCTCCACTCAACCTTGCCTCGCCGTCACCCACCTCTATCTTCTACAAACTGCCTCGCTATCATCATCACCTCTATCCTCCTGTCTCTATCTACCGTCTCTATCGCCGTCTCTCCTCACCGTCTCTATCCTCGCCGTCTCTATCCTCACTACAACCTTGCCTCTGCCATCCCTCTATCCTCACCGCCTCTATCCTCCTACAACACTCCCTCCTACCATCACCTCTATCCTCACCGTCTCTATCCTCACTACAACACCTCGCTACCATCATCACCTCTATCCTCCCTGTCTCTATCCTCACTACAACACTTGCCTCCTCTTCTATCATCACCTCTATCCTCACCGTCTCTATCCTCACTACAACACTTGCCTCGCTACCATCATCACCTCTATCCCACCGTCTCATCTCCACTACAACACTTGCCTCGGTACCATCATCCCTCTATCCTCCTCTATCCTCCTACAACATTTCCTTGCTACCATCACACCTCTATCCTCACCGTCTCTATCCTCCCTACAACACTTGCTTCTTCATCATCTCTATCCTCACCGTCTCTATCCTCACTACAACACTTGCTCGCTTCCATCATCACCTCTATCCTCCGTCTCTATCCTCACCGTCTCTATCTTCGCCGTCTCTATCCTCACGTCTCTATCCTCGTCTCTATCCTCACTACAACGCCTCTCTCCATCATCACCTCTATCCTCACGTCTCTATTCTCACTACAACACTTGCCTCGCCACCATCATCACCTCTATCCTCACCGCCTCTATCCTCCTACAACACTCTGTCATCACCATCATCGCCTCTATCCCCACCGTCTCTATCCTCACTACAACACTTGCCTCCTTCCATCACCACCTCTATCCTCACCGTCTCTATCCTCACTACAACACTTGCCTCGCTGTCATCCACCTCTATCCTCACCTCTATCCTCACCGCCTCTATCCTCTACAACCTTCTCTACCACATCACCTCTATCCTCGCTCTATCCTCACACCCTCCTTCCCATCCTCACCGTCTCTATCTCTTACAACACCTTCTGTCATCACCATCATCGCCTCTATCCCCACAGGTTCCCACCATATCAGCACTCAGCAATCATTGTAGACATCACGTACCTAGCACATCCCAGCACCCAGCACCCTACACTTAGCACCTAGCACACAGCACCTAGCACACATCACTCAATACGTATCCCAGCAGTCAGCACACATCACCCAGCACCAACCACCCAGCACGCATCCCAGCACCCAGCACCTAGCACGTATCCCAACAGGTTTCTCCAGCACCCACTCCATCTCGCTCACACCCAGGTAGTGTGTCTCGAATATTGAGGTCGACAGGAACTGGTGGCTGGCCGTATGTCTGGTGTGGTGGGGAAGGTGTGGTGGGGAGGTGAGTGGTGGGGAATGGAGTGAGGTGGGGAGGGGGGTGTGGTGGGGAGAGTGTGTGAGGTGAGAGAGGGAGTGGTGAGGTGTGGTGGGGAGGTGGTGGGGAGGGGGGTGAAAGGAGAAGGAGGCTGGAAGTGTTTGTGTCGAGAGAAGGAGGGTATGAGAGGATAGAGGGGGAGGGAGGCATTTTGTGTGTGTGGAGGAGATTGTAATGGGAGGTGGACTACAGTGTGGGAAGGCAGGGATTGAGAAGGTGGGAAGAATGGGCGGTGGGTGGAAGAAAGGAGGAAGGAAAGAGTGAGGGAGGAGGGAGGGGAGGAGGGAGGGAGGAGGAGGAGGAGGAGGAGGAAGGGGTGGACGGCCGGCTAAGACATATGAGGCAATACGGCGACTGTTGTAAACTTTTCTAATACCGAGGGGGTGGAGGAGGAGGTGGAGGAAGTAGAGGAAGAGGAGAAGAAGGAAGTGGAGGGAGCCGTGCCCTCCTCCCCCTCCCCTTCTTCCGGCCACTTCATAGCGATCCAGCGTAGATGGGTGGCGGTGGCGTCGGTGGCGGCGGTGGTAGTGGACGGCAGCGGTGGGCGGCTGGCTAAGTTTACTGTCCTTCAGGTAATAAGTCTTGGACCATCTGAGCCATCAAAAGTCCATTCCTATAAGAACCCGTAAACACTTGCTAGCCCGCCACAGGCACCTATCCCTTTCCCTCACCGCGCCAATCTCACCTCTCCGGCAAGAGCGTCCTTTGGGTCATTATAGGCTGGGGGAGAGGCGGGCATGGACCTCCCGTGGCCAACTTTCAGTACAAAACGCGCCTTCGCAATCACAAAAGTCCGAAACCCAAAGGGACAATTCGACGTCATTTTCACCTCTACGACCCTGAAGCCGAAGCAGCGAGGCGGGGGGTCGTGGGCCAAGGTATCAGTGGGTCGTTCTTGGCAGAGTCGTTCTGTTAATTTCGTGTAGTAATGTCAGGCTATGGAAGACTCGCTCAACAACCTGTGTGGCGGCGGCGTCTTCGGTACTAGACCTTGTTTCTTCGGTACTACTTTCTTCAGTACTAGGCCTTGTATCTTCAATATGGCGATTTTTAATGAGGTTAGGTTAGGTTAGGTTAGGTTAGGTTAGGTTAGGTTAGGGTTGTTTAATCATCAGATGAAATAAGCTGGGGCGTCTAATCTTCACTTATATGACCTTTGATTCTAAGACCATAGTTTTTAAAGTCCCTTGATGTTTGTGTTTACAGTCCTGGAGGAAGTTACATAAACAAAACCTGAGTCAAAGTTTTTCAGCATTTCCTACACATAACTGTATTCTTTATTATCTTCACTGTAACTCCAAATTACAGGAGGAATTGTATGTTCTTTATATATCTATAAGTTTATGTTACAGTGGATAATATTGAAAAGTACAGTCAGGACAAAATTATGTGGAGTAATGAGCTTGGTTTTGGATGGGGCGGGACAGTCAACACAAACATCAATGGACTTTATAAACACCCGAGATAAACTTAAGAGGTGTGAAAAGTGTAATCAATCTACTGAACAAATCACGAAAAACAACAACTATTCTGTATTACACGACAACAACAATAACTCTACATCGATACTCATGACTGTGAAATAACTGACAAACACACAAATACGTGAGTAATTCATTCATCAACGCAGGTGGAGCAAAACACGGAAAATACTCACGTCCGGTCAGCTGTTTGGTTCACTCAGCTGACACAGTAAGCATCATGGCAGGGGGTAAAGTAAGTGACTCCCAGCTGTGTGTGTGTAGGTGAGCGCCGCCATCCCTGTCACTCCACTCCTCTCTCTCTCTCTCTTTCTTTCTCTCTTTCTAATGGATAGATGGATAGATGGATGGATGGAGAGAGGATCCACATACTCGAAAGAGGGGAGGGAGGAAAGGAGGAGAGACTGCTACTAAGAAGAAGGAGGAAGAAACAACACACTCGAAGGGAGGGAGGGAGGGAGGGAGGGAGGGAGGGGGAAGATAGGTACTCCACCCACACATAGAAGATGGAGGCCAGAGAAAAACGGTGGTGACGGCGGTGCTGGACAGTAGGTATTGACGGAGGAGAGGAGGAGAAGGCCTAGCAGGACGGAAGAGGAGGGGGAGGAAGCCTAGCAGGACGGCAAGGAGGAAGAGGAGGAGGCATAGCAGGATGGAAGAGGAGGAGGAAGGGAGAGCCCTAGCAGGACGGAAGAGGAGGAGGAGGAGGAGGAGGCCTAGCAGGACGGAGGATCCCTCTCTGATAACTCCTACTGTGGTCATGATCAACTGTGAGGAAGGGGGCATGAGTCTCCAGCGGGGCGAGTCGTGAGTTCCAGTGGGAGTCGTGAGTCTCCAGCGAGGGAGTCGTGAGTCTCCAGCGGGGGGAGCGAGTCTCCAGCGGGGGAGTCGTGAGTCTCCAGCGGGGAGTCGTGAGTCTCAGCGGGGTGTGAGTGTGCAGTGGGGTGGCGTAAGTCTCCAGTGCGGGCGTCAACACAGCGTAAATACAATATAGTGGGTACCATATAGGGCTATAAAATGTTATAAGAGAGGGCATATAGCTCTTAAATATAATATACACGGGCGTAAATACAATATATCAGGGAGTATATAGGGCGTAAATTCAATACATCTCGGCGTACACAGAGAATGAATATACAATAGGAAATAAAAAGGTGTAAGTTTAATATACAGCATAAGAGCGTATATACTGTAAATATACTGTAAATATAGCGTAAATTCCAATATATATGCGGGTAAATACAATAAATATGTGATGTAAATATGATATAGGTAGAGTATAAGGGAGTAACTATATTATATAAGGCTATAAGCAGTTACATGTGGGCGTAGATGCGAGGTATAAGGATGTATATACTGCGTAAATTATAACCAAGGTAAATATAAAGGTATAGACACGTATTATGTAAACAAACTATGAAGAAAATATTTGTAATTAAAGTATAAACAAATATTATAACTTTATTCTAACTTGTAAATGTTGTCGTAACACTTAACCTCCACCACCCTCCCTTCTCCACCACCCCTCCCCCTTCTCCACCACAACCTCCCTTCTCCACCACTTCTCCCCTTCCATCAACTCTGCCCCTCCCTCTTCCCCTCACCCGTCCCCCCCTCCTTCCTGGTGTCACATATCACAATATACATAATATGACCATTTTTCCTCCCCTTTTGAGAGCCAAATGTGTGTGTACGACTCTGTATCAAGACTGACACAGCTCCACACGATATATATATATATATATATATATATATATATATATATATATATATATATATATATATATATATATATATATATATATATATAAACTCGAAAAGTTAATTGTAATTGGGCAGAATAAATTGTAGGAACAATTTTCATTAAGGCTGAAGAAGTTGGTTGAATGTGTGACGAAGTTTGTGGTGAATCAGTGACAGTGTTTGGGGGTGTGGCCACGTACACCTGCTGGGGGCGTGGCCACGTACACCTGCTGGGGGCGTGGCCACGTACACCTGCTGGGGGCGTGGCATACACGTACACCTGCTGGGAAGTAGCCATATACACCTGCTGGGGGCGTGGCCACACACCTGTTGGGGGTGTGGTGACTTGTCACAACCAGTGATAAACTCTTATTGTCAAACAGAAAAAGCTGTCGGTCGCCCTCAACACCACTACACCATAACAACTGACGAGTATGTTACTTTACTGACCTTGTGGAAGACAGAGCTACTTTACTGACTCTGGGGGTGACGTTACGTTAGTTAGTTAGTTACAAGATGAGCTGAGTATAAGAATTGGTTTGGTCACGTGATCATCAGGGGTGAGGGTGAAACATGGCGTCACACACACACACACACACACACACACACACACACACACACACACACACACACTTATGGACGCAAGCACGGACACTCACACATATGGAAACAAGCACAAACACCCACATACAAATACATCCATACGCACGGACACACAAAAACAAACGCACACACGGACACACAAGGACAGTATTGCCCTCTACTGCAGGACCGAAAACGAAAATTAGATCCATCAAATGATAAACGAATAACAGAAGGGAAAATATATACAATAAACTCCTAACACACACACACACACACACACACACACACACACACACACATAATAACAATAATCTATAATACCAAAAAAAACATACATAGAGCTACAAAAATACATATTGTATATATATATGACAATACACACGAATGGTAAAAAAGGGAGAGAGAGAGAGAGAGAGAAATATGAGAAGAAGTGTGGCGTAATAAACAAGGGGTTGACGAAGAGGTGTATGAAGGGTACAGACGAATGAGAACAAAACAAATAGAAAAACACGACCTTGTTTATAGTGTCCAAAAGGATTGTTTATGTTGACGGTTTGTTCAGGGCAAAATACGACCTCGTAAAAATGAACAGGGCGCTGTGCTGGACTGACTGTCTCTCTCTCTCTCTCTTTATCTCTCTCTCTATCTATCTATCTCTTCATATATCCATCTCTCTTTATCTCTCTCTTCTATCTATCTCTCCATATATCCATCTCTCTCTCTTTTCTCTTTATTCCTCTCTCTATCTGTTTCTGTCTCTTACTTTCTGTATTTTACGTTATATCTCTCTTATTTATATCTCTCTCTCTCTATATATCTCTCCCTCTTTCTAATTTTATATCTCTCTATCTCTCTCTTTCTCTGTCAACAGGGCGGGGTGACAGTCCGTCAGCTCCACACACCGAGTCACGTCCACAGCTGTTGAGTTAATTAAGAAACACGTAACGATATTTACCTGGGACAGAGAGACAGGTGGTGGTCTTTTTTTGTACAGGTTTAGACGCACATGTGTGGTCAGATACAGGTGTGGTCAGATACAGGTGTGGTCAGTCACAGGTGTGGACAGTTACAGGTGTAGACAGAGACATGTATGGACAGACACGGGTATGGACAGTCATAGATATAGACAGTCATTCTGAGAGATATTTACACCGATAATTACGTCCATACAGACAAAGAGACTGACACACCCATACAGTCATACAAACAAACAGGCTTAACATTCATTTAGACAGTCAGCTGTACATGTAAACAAGCAGACAGCCATACAAACAGACATACAGACACACTCATATATGAAGACAAACAAAGGCAGATAAACATACAGTTGGTGACAGGTGTTGCTATAAGTGACAGGTGTTGCTGTAAGTGACAGGTGTTGCTGTAACAGGCGGTAGTGCAGGGTTAAATTTGGTATGTGAATAGTGAGGCTAAAGGTCACAGGTGGCAATGCAGGTGATACTTGACATTGTAAATGATAGTTGACACCGTAGGTGAGTGGCGGCAATGCAGGTGACATTTGGCACCTCGTGACAGGTGGCGCTGCAAATGAAAATGACCCTGAAGGTGACATGACAGTTCAAATGACTGTTGGCACTGCAGGTAACAAATGGCACCTTAATGACAAGGTAGGTCAAAATTAACAGGTGAAAGTACAAGTTTTACAAGTGGCATTGTAAGTGACGAGTGATAGTGCAGGTGACAGGTGGCACCTCATAACAATTGGCGCTTCAGTAACAAGTAACACTATTATTACAGGTGGCACCGTCTGCGATAGGTGGCACTCCAGGTGGTGCCGCGCTGGCCCAGGATGCGGGCACCACGCTCAGGTGTGCAACGGAGTGTCATATTAATTACAGACTGGTTTAATTAATATCAAGGTGCGTGTTCCTCAGTGACATACAGCTGGACCAGATGGTGGTGCAGGTGGTGATAGGGGTGATGGTGGTGGGAGATAGAGGTGGTGATGGTGGTGCAGGTGGTGATAGGGGTGGTGATGGTGGTGCAGGTGGTGATAGGGGTGATGGTGGTGGTGATAGAGGTGGTGATGGTGGTGCAGGTGGTGATAGGGGTGGTGATGGTGGGGCAGGTGGTGATAGGGGTGATGGTGGTGGTGATAGAGGGTGATGGTGGTGGTGTAGGTGGTGGTAGAGGTGGTGGTGCAGGTGTTGGTGGTGCAGGAGGTGATAGAGGTGGTGCTGGTGGTGATAGAGGTGGTGATGTAGCATGGTGGTAGAGGTGGTGGTTGCAGGTGGTGTTGGTGGCAGGAGGTGATAGAGGTGGTGGTGGTGATAGAGGTGGTGGTGGTGGTGTGATAGAGGTGGTGGGTGGTGGTGGTGGTGGTGGTGGTGCAGGTGATGGTAAAGGTGGTGGTAAAGGTGGTAGTGGTGGTGGTAGAGGTGGTAGTGTAGGTGGTGGTGCAGGGTAGTGTAGGTGGTGGTGGTGTGGTGGTAGTGTAGGTGGTGGTGGTGCAGGTGGTAGTGTAAGTTGTGGTAGAGCTGGTGGTGTAGCTGGTAGTGCAGATGGATTCAGATGGCTCAACAGGTGGTTCAGTTCCTGATAGAGAATATCCAGAGTAACAACTACCCAGTGCACAGATGGACCACACAACCATCCAGATGGTGGTTAACAATATGCCGGTCACGACAGATGGTTCTTACACCAGCTGGACGACAAACAGTAGAGGCAGATCATCAAAACAAATAGTACAGGTGGTGGCAGGTGGTACAGATGGTGGCAGATGGTAGAGTTGGTGGCAGATGGTAGAGTTGGTGGCAGATGGTAGAGTTGGTGCAGATGGTAGAGTTGGTGGCAGATGGTATAGGTGGTGGCAGGTGGTACAGATGGTGGCAGGTGGTACAGATGGTGGCAGATGGTACAGGTGGTGGCAGATGGTAGAGTTGGTGGCAGATAGTAGAGTTGGTGGCAGATGGTAGAGTTGGTGGCAGATGGTAAAGTTGGTGGCAGATGTAGAGGTGGTGGCAGATGGTACAGGTGGTGGCAGATGGTAGAGTTGGTGGCAGATGGTAGAGTTGGTGGCAGATGGTAGAGATGGTGATAGATGGTAGATGTGGTGGCAGATGGTTCAGGTGGTGGCAGATGGTACAGGTGGACGGCAGATGGTAGAGGCGGTGGCAGGTGGTCCTCCCAGTACCTCGGGTTATCATGTAAACGGCAGACGGCAAATGAGACAAATCGTCACTCTCACTTTTCAGCTCAAATATTAACTGGCAGACGAGGAAGAGGAGGAGGAGGAGGAGGAGGAGGGGGGAGAAGAACAGGTGGACGAGAAGGGATAAGGAGGAGGGGGGAGGAGGAAAAAGAAGATGAATAGGAGGAAGAGAAGGATAATTAAAAGGAGTAGGAGGATTAGGGAGAAGATGAAGGAGGAGGAGGAGGAGGAGGAGGAGGAGGAGGAGTGAGTAGGAGGAATGCGATAAAAACAACTTAGAAAGAGGAAGAGAATGAACAAGGTAAACAGGAGGAAGAGGAGGTGAGGAAGAGGAAGAAGAAGGGGAGGAGAAGGAGGAAGAGGAGTTACTCAGCTGATGGAGTGGCAGATGGCATGGGAGCTGAAGGCGTCGGGGGCCAGGTGGTTGGGCCAGCTGGTACGAGAGGAGGCCAGGTGGATGGAAATGGGTTCTTGGTGCCGCCGCCCGTCGACATTACTGAGGTGGCAGACAGGACCAAATGAAATTAGCGGGCGGTGACAAATGATGGGGCCGCAGCCGGTGACACGGGGAGGGGAGGTGGAGGGGGGAGGAGGTGTGGGAGGGGGTGTGAGGGAGGGGTAGGGAAGGTAGGAATGGATGAGGGAAGAAGGGAAGGTGAGAGGTAGCGAAAGAGGATAAAGAGAAGGGTGGGAGAGGGGGGGGGAGATAGGGTGGGTGAGGGGGGAGAGGGGGGGGGGAGGGGGAGGGGGTGGTGGGGAAGGGGAGAAGGGGTGATGAGGGAAGGGGAGAGGGGGTATGTGGTGAAGGAAAAAGGTACAGTAGAAGAGGTAGGGATAGGTGAGGAATGGGGGAGGAGGAAGAGGAAGAGGAAGGAAGGGTTAAGTGAGGGGAGGAAGGAATGAGGGAATGGAGGGAGTGGGAGGGAATAAACGAATAAGTAAGAAAGGGGAGAGATGGAAAGGAACACGAGAAAAGGGAAGTGAAAGGGGGTGAGGAAAGGAGAGGAGTAAAAGGGGTGGTAATGATTGGTGAGGGGAGGAAGGGAAAGAGGAGGAAAAGGGAAAGAGGGGTGAGAGAAAAGAGGGGATAATAAAAAGGGAAAACAAGGTAGGAGAAAGAGGAGAAAGAAAATAAGACCAAAAAAAGACAAAGATAAAAAGAAAGAAGGAATAAGATAAAAGTAATAATGATGGTAAAGAGAAAAAAACGAAGAAGTAGATAATTAATAAGTAAGAAAAAGAATGAAGTAAAAATGGATAAAAAGGATTAGATAGAAAGTAAAGATGAAAACAGAAACGAAGAATAAAACGTAGAAATACACAAAGGAAAAATATAACAACCGAACAGATAATGAGATAGAAAGAAATAATTAAAGAAAGATGGTAGAAGAAGCGTAATGAAACAAAATGAAGAGAAATGCACAAGAGTCAACTATAAGCGACAAGGAGTAATTGTGGTCATCAGGTACTGGAAGAGGAATAGGTGTAAACAAGTAAAATTGGTGTAAACAGGTAAATTAGGTGTAAACAGGTAAAAAATAGGTAAAATTAGGTGTAAATCGGTAAAAATTGGTGTAAAGAGAGAGGGGTAAGCAGGTGTAATTGGGAATAAACAGGTGTACACAGGTAAAAGTATACGGTGCTTGTGTGTGTGTGTGTGTGTGTGTGTGTGTGTGTGTGTTTGTTTCACCGCAGTATGACAAAGAAAACAACCAACCAATCATTACAATGACAACAACAACAGACTTAACAAACACAAACTTAATTAAATTTGTTCTTCCTTATCATATTTTTACCACAATCACAACCACAACCACAATCACAACCACAATTACATTCACAACCACAACCACAACCACAATCACATTCACAATCACTACCACAATCACAATCACAGCCACAATCACAACCACAATCACATTCACAATCACAACCACAACCACAATCACTACCACAATCACTACCATTACTACAACAACCACTACCACCATCAACACATTCTGAGTCGATATAATGAATACAGAGTTCATATAATGTAACTATATATGAAGTAGCGAGTCGATAATAGGGTTGATATCAGGAGCAGGTGGGCGATATAAGGGGCAGGTGGGCGATATAAGGGGCAGGTGGGCGATATAAGGGGCAGGTGGGCGATATAAGGGGCAGGTGGGCGATATAAGGGGCAGGTGGGCGATATAAGGTTGATATAAGGTTGATATAAGAGGTAGATAGTCGATATAACAAGTATACTCGGGCCCTTCAACCTGGGGTGTTTACAGTGGGGACCCCTCAATATATTCTTTGTTTACCCGCCCTCCATCTCCCTCCCAAAACTTCCCACAATGATGGGTAAATACAGGCTGTGTATTGCCTGATCCTCCGCCTCTGATTGGCTGTTGCAGGTAAATACAGGTTATGTACTGAACGCTGATTGGGTCTTATATGTCAATAGCGGTTATGGACTGAACTATGACTGGTGGGTGGGTGGATGAAGGTACCATGGAGCCTTATTACCTGTGAGACTTATCTTTTAACGGGGGTAAAGTACATGTGAGGTTTATAGTTGTAATTAATGAAGTATATTAACCAGGAATAAAGACGATGGAGGAAATTGTACTTACGATAACGAAATAAATAGTAAGATATTTTTTTTAATGAGGTAACACGACTGGCGAACCAAGAATAGGAGAGGAAAATGTAATTATGGTGTTTTTAATAGACTGTGGTGGTAGGTTGTTGACACGGAGGCGGGAGAATAGTGGAACCCCGGGAGAGCCAATCACCAGCCTCTCATGCACCTGGTGGTTGATCCTTCCAGCACACCTCCCTGTCCCATGTTTTAATTAGTCATTGTTGACAGTGTTGAGACGAAGAGGGTGGCATTGGTGGAAGGGGTGGGTGGTAGTAATGGTGGAAGGAGAGGTGGCACTGGTAGGGTGGGAGGTGGCACTGGTAGGGTGGGAGGTGGCATTGGTGGAAGGGGTGGGTGGTGGTAATGGTGGAAGGAGAGGTGGCATTGGTAGGGTGGGAGGTGGCACTGGTAGGGTGGAAGGTGGCACTAGTGGAGTAGGAGGTGGTGGCACTGGTGGAGTAGAAGGGTGGTTTCACTTGTAGAGCAGGAGGTGGCACTAGATGAGTAGGAGGTGGTGGCACTGGTAGGGAGGGATGTGGCACTAGTAGAGAGGGTGGTGGCACTGGTGGAAGGAGAGGTGGCACTGGTAGAGTGGGAAGTGGCACTGGTGGGAGGAGAGGTGGCACTGGTAGGGCGGGAGGAGGGTGGGACTGATAGGGAGGGAGGTGGCACTGGAGGGGGTGAGCAAGGTGCCGACAACTTAAACATAGGCTACACAACTTTGGTCTTCCTCTTGTGGTTTACAGGGGATGCGTTCAGCTGTGTTAACGTGAGGGAGGAGAGGAGAGGGAGAGGGGGATGAGTGAGAGAGGAGAGGCGAGGGAGAGGGAAGAGGGAGGTGAGAAGAGGGCGACGAAAAAAAGGAAAGAGAACAAGAATGAAGAAGGGAGGAGGTTAACTCAAACGAGAGGAAAACAAGGATGAAGGGGGGAGAAGGAAGAAAGGAGTAAGGAGAGGAAGAGAGGAGGTGGAATACAGTTATGAGCAGCTGTAGGCAGGTGGTAGGGGATGGAGGCAGGTGGTAGCAGGTGGTTGCAGGTGGGTTCTGCTTTAGGCAGGTGAGGCTGGATCATCTTGGCAGTGTCAGGTAAGCTGGGTATTATGTCGTACTTAAGTCAGGAGACACACCTTGACTCCTGCACCCGAGGCTGTGTGACCTGCTGACCCTCCACTACCTGTATGACCTCCTGACCCTCCACCACCTGTGACCTGACCCTCCACCACCTGTGACCTGACCATCCACCACCTGTGACCTGACCCTCCACCACCTGTGACCTGACCCTCCACCACCTTGCAGTGACCTGGACTCCTCCACCACCTATGACCTCCTGACCTCCACCACTTACGACTCACCCACCACACCTGTGGACCTCCTGACCTCCACCACTCAGTGGACCTGGACCCTCCACCACTTACGACTGACCCTCCACCACTTGCAGACCTGATCCTCCACTCACCTGTGGACCTGACCCTACACTCACCTGTATGACCTCCTGACCTCCACCACTCCAGTGGACCTGACCTCCACCAACTGTATGACCTGACCCTCCACCACCTGTGACCTGACCCTCCACCACCTGTGACCTGACCCTCCACCACCTGTATGACCTGACCCTCCACCACCGTCTCTACGTCGAAACCTACTGTGTGGAACATCTCATTCCTCGTCTCTGTAATCCCTCAGTTTCAATCTCTCTCAACTTCCAGCCTAGTCCATCCATCCATCTATCCAGTCAATCATTCATTTCATCTCTATTCTATCCCATCTTCTTTTATACCCGCACCAAGGATCCCCCCTCCACTGCCTTCCCCTTTACAAGAACCCCCTACCACTACCCACACTGAAGACCTCCTCCTCCTTCCCATACCAATGACCACCCCTGTTTTTCTCCCCTTCCTCTGCCTCTCTCTCACACCATAGCCTCCCCACCACCTGGGACCTAATTCCAAACTCTGGCTAAATTAAAAGGCCAAACTTGATTTTAATTGTCTACTAGGATCTCAGATATGGTGATTTTGTCAGCTTCACACTCCTCTCTACTCTTCCTCTCTCTTCTCTCTCTCTCTCTCTCTCTCTCTCCACCTTTCTCCGCTTGTGTTTCTGTCTGTCTGGCCTAATTCTACCTGGTTTAACATCCCAGAATCTCTTATCTCAATTACACTACACAAAAAACCCGGTACAAGACGGTAGAGGAATCGAAGGGTCTTATTTCTCTCAAGGTTTACGAAGTTTAGAATATCGGAGGTAAAACACAAGTGATGGGAGTTTTGTCCAGAACAATGTAGTTCCGGGAATCCATCTGTAGGGGAGTTGAATCCTTTAGGGAAAAACTTGTGCTCTTAATTCGCTCCAAATTGGTGGGTCTCTGCCCGAGCGCCGCTGGGATAAACAGAAAAATGAATTATTTCATCGTCTTGATCTTCATTTAATCAAAAACACTTGATCACACAGTGGATTAAGGAGGACGTCTCCTGTCTCGACCTCTGCCGCGTCAGCTTTTCCGATCCTCATTTGTTTTGGTGATCCGCCAACCCTTATCTCCCGCCGCGCCGCGCACTGGGGTTATGCGTTATACCATTTCCAGGAAGGGGAGGGGTGAGGATGGAGGATGAGAGGAGGATGGAGGGTGAGAGGGAGGGGATGGAGAGAGGGAGGGGATGGAGAGTGAGAGGGAGGGGGAGAGGGTGAGAGAGGAAGGGGAGGGGTGAGAGGGAGGAGGATAGAGGATTAAAGGAGGAGAATGGAGGGTGGGAGAGGGAGATAGGGGTTAGGGTGGGAGGAATGAGGTGTGAAAGGGAGGGGGGTGGAGGGTGAGAGGGGGATAGAGGTGAAAGAGAGGGGGGGATGGAGGGTGAGAGGAA